GCGTAAATATAGCATACAATAAACATGAAAGAAGTATTATTTAATACAAAACTTTTTTTAATACTCCGTTGTGACAACTCCATGTACGAAAAATCTTGTAATAATAATAAGGTGTATATTTTAGGCCCTGATATCAGAACATGGGAAAAGAAGTAACAACTTTTTTTCGAGAGCTCTTATTCACTGAACTTTGCAAATGAAAATAAATTAATTTATTTTTGATGGGCGGTTAAACAACAACCAGTAGAAGAATTTTCCATCAGGCTTTTTCAGCAATAATACCCGACTGTACAGGTTGTAAGTTTAGAGTCTTTCTCAATATTGGTATAAGAGGGACGCATGTAATCCAACCTTCAAATCAGACATTTGAATGCATGGGTGATATCGCACATTATCAGTTATATCTTAAAAAAGCTGCATTAAGTGCCGCTCTCACTAAGAGCGGTCCTCTCGACTTCCCTTTCAGTTGTTCTCCAATTCTCTTTTTTCGCGTCGCCACAAGCCAAAAATGATTTTTTGCCAGTACACCCGTGTGGACAGCGATCGAAAGTGTAAATTTCACAGATTTTGTCCAGCGCGCAGCGATTGCAATAACATAGCTCACGGAGAGAGATTCTGAGGTCATAAAAGTAAAGAAAATTTTATGTACAGAAAAGTGTAAGATGTAATATAGAATAGAATATGAAAATAGCCTCATCCAAAAACTTTTAGCAAAAACTTTCTTCTGAATCCGTTGTGAACGACATTGCACTGGCGAGTTTCCCCAACAAAATAAAATTGATTACACAAGCCTTTCACGTGAAACGTGAAGAAAGGAAATAAATCCTCTGAATAAAATTTAATGCAAATCCAGGACCGAAAGGCACAAAACCTGTCTTAAAATAAGGAATATATAGTCTTGAGCGCGACAAAAGACCGTGGTTTGGCCAACCTTCAATGATTTGCGAAGCTAGAACATGTTTAATTTTTCCTTTGGTTCTAGCCTTACCCCACTACCAAAACGTACTCGTAGTATATACGAGAAAAGTGAGATAATATAGCACAAAGAAATTATTATAACTCCTATTACCCTGCAACGATCACAAGCGAAAATCTCGCGTGCGTTAATCCGGGATAGCTAAGCATCGCTTTGCCGTCGAATGTAAACCACTTGGGATGTTGAGGGAACACGAAAACAATCTGTAAACAATGACATTCTACTGAAGAATACTTCATACTAGTCTGTGCAGAAAGGCTTTTGAAGAAATCAGTTTAAATGTCTTGCGGAGCTTTTTTATGATGAAAAATAAATTCAGTTGTGGGATTTTAACTGGTGAAGTTTATTTTCATAGTTGGGACTTAACTTTTAATTCTTTAATAACGTTGCTAGACCACACCACAGCTGAAGTCGGAGAAATCGAAAGACAACAACATCGAGCCGTGTTTCGTTTGTACTGATTCAAACGTCGTCCAACTGTTTTGTTTACTCGCGGTACACTATTTTCCTTCAACAAAATTTGTTTAAGTTGTCTCAGCTTGGATTAACATTGCACGGAGTCGTCGTTTAAATTTACAAAAGTGTTTAGAATGCTTTAACTTGGCAAAAATTGAAATCGCGGACCGCAAACGGAATTGCCGTAAATCTTGAGTACACATGCACATTCGGATGGTTTTTTTTACTTGTCATTTAGATAAAAATGAAAAACTGAAAACTCAGTAAAACTGAATTTAAAACTTAAAAAAAAGATATCGTTAGAAAGCTTCAATCTTTGTAGACACTTGGAAATTGCAAGAGTTGATTGCCGGTCACGGTTCCCAAATAATTAAATGACTGGCAGTCGAGACAACCCATACATTCCAAACTATAATATGTTGATGAGGAACTTCTAAGCGATCTCGAAAAGATTTACAAATCTCATATCTAGTGTTCAGTTTACTTTGACTCAGAATTATTTCACTCAGAAATTCCGTGATACCATGCGGGATGTTTTGCATGCGCTTTTATTCCCAAAAGAAAAAAAAACGGATAAGGAAAAGGAAGAACAATTACATTGTAACAAATTGGTTGGTGTACCACTTGCTCGAGTTTAAGTCTGTCCTCTTTAAAAAATTCTTGATAGCTAACAAGTATTCAGCGAAGTGGAAGTAAGTAGTGATAGATATTTATCAAACCGCTGATGATATTTACCAATGATGCTGATGCGAGTAGTTGTTTTGTTGTATACTAACACAGTGAATTAAAAACTAACTATTTAAACTAAATTATTCCTGCAACGATTACAATGCTTTCGGTCGCAAATCTCCCAGCGGTGAAACACTGGGAATATTCGGAGTTTGAAAAGCTAATCAGAGCGCCCCTTCAGCATTCTCTGCTGTGTCAGTATAAACCTCTCATGAATTCTGAAAACTAACAGAATTCTTTTTTTTTTTTTTTTTTTTAATCTAAGGTCGATAGTGGAACGAGACCTTCAGAGTGAGCTAGCGTCATTCTGTGAAACAATAATATACCATGAGTGAATTAGACTTAAAATTGATACAAAATGCTCTAAATTACAGTAGCTCTGAAAATAATTGGACAAAAGAAACAATAGTAGGCAAGAGGGAAATGTTCTCATCGACAATTCTTTTCCAAATTTCAGAGATGTTTTGCCTTCTTTCTTGTTTTCTTTTTTTTTAAAGCGTTAACACTTGGATTAGGAAAAGTCACTTTGAAAATGCATCGATTTAGAAAAATTCGTCTCCCTAAATGTTAATTTTTCGTCATAAAATGAGCAGCCTTAGCAATAGACCTTTTCAGTTGTCACGAAATTTAAAATGGTTACACAAGAATTCGAATGATTTGCGAAGCTGGAATATGTTTTTTCCCTTGCACTGCGTGAAATGAGTAATTTCGTGGAATTTTTGGGGCCGTGATATTTCACGACTGACCCGACGAGTCGCAGATCGGAACGCAACGTGTCGGGAAACTTGGCGTGTCGGAGAGCGTCATGTTCCTGACACCCGTGACACGGCGTGTCATGACAAGTCACGCCATGTGTACGTTAATCGCCAAAGAATATCAAGGGTCTGATACTTAAAGGCACGGATGTATTTAGTCGTAGAATAAATGTATTTTGTGTACGTTTGTCCTAGCACGTTACTTGGAAACCACAAACGCTTGTGCTTTTTGTCCCTTCAGAATTTTATAGTTAACAATGCGTGGAGAACATATGGCCGACTGTTCAGTTGTACATCTCTAGCGATCTCTCACTATCAGTTCATTATTCTTCGGTAATTCGTGTCGTCAGTCGTTGGTCTCAAAGCCTTCTTCCATTCTCAAGTACCAAGGTTTTTTAAAAAGTTTACGTTCTGGAGATCATCAATTTACGCACATACATCTTCACCTTCCTTTGCTTATCCGGGCTTTCGCGTTCGCTTGAATGTATTTTTTTCAGTATCTTCTCGCACCTTTACCTATCGCTTAAGGCGGGGTACCTGTTCGCGCCTATACTGTTGCGCCTTCACATTCAGTGTTTAAACTAAAGTTAAGTATACCTTCTGTTTTTAATTTCATGTAAAAGGAAACTTTGTGCCAGTCGATAGGTTGGTCATTCTAAACTTATTAGGGTTTTTTCAGTCTTTCCAATTTTTTTAACGTTTTGAACATTAAAGTTGGAAAATAATTTGCAACAGTTGCTTTGCTGATGGCAATCTTATCCTTCACGGCATATGATATATGACAACAGGCAACAACCCAGCTATCTGGACAAAATGTTTTAGCACAACCTAGTGGCTCATCTATTAAACATAGCATATTAAAGATACGTAATTACTAACAATGTCTGGGAACTTCTTTTGTAAAATGATTCAGGCTTTATTGTATTTTCTTCAGCTCAACTAATAGGTAATGCCATGTACTGTTAGGAAATACTTCGATAAATTTGTTGTTGTTGTTATTGTTCTTGCATAAAATTGCAATTTGGCCAACAGTCAGCCACTGGATTGTAATACATGTAACATTTAAAAACTGATAAAAAATGATATGAAACACTGACAGCAATATTTTGGGTTTCCCTTAAAGAACCATACTAAAGTTTCAATATTTTATCGCGCAAAAATAGATAACTACAGCTATTTCATGAGAGGTTATACTATAACTTCTCATACACTAACTGTTGTACATGATCACACAATACATTTGGTACCTATTGCTATATTAAAGAACTACTTGTACAAACCACTTTTGGCAATAGCATAATCAAATGACATTAATTGCAAATTGACTGAATTGTGACAGTACATAAAAATCTAAATACAATATTCTTATTAATCTAACACGTCATGTTATGAGATCACTGATTTATTTCAGTCTGTAGCCAAAATAATTGCTGTTGTCAACCAATTCAGCTTATCATGATCCAACTTAGGAAAATGTTTCAGAATGTAAATATCTAGAAATGAAAATGTATCTCGAGACTCAATCATGTACAGATGTTCATTGAGGAAGTACCAACACCAAATCCACTTTCTGCAATCTGTTTTCCTTTCCATAAATTAAAGCTCCATAATGCTAGACTCTAACTGAGTTTGGTAATGGTATTATTTCATGAACTTTTTCTGATGGCGCAGAAGTGGAACTTGATATTTAAAAGACACAGCTAGACTGGAATCTTCCCACTGGCACATAAAAAGCATGTTCTGGAATAACTGACTCGAAATGATTCGCCCAAATCTACAGATTTTGAATACCTGTTACACTGAGGATGCCTAGCATACCATTCAACTAATGCTAGAAGGTGGGTGATCTTTTGAGATTTTCCATTCTCCATTTTGATAACCACATCATGTTGCAGAAAGTCCCTAATGATAGCAGGTCTACTAGAGTTATCAAAGGCTGTTGGTTACAAGTTAAGTCTGCTGCACAACGGTATCCTTTGTATAAAAGGTGCTTGAACTTATCACAGAAGCTGGAAACATGGATGATTCTACCACCAGCATACATGGCCTCGTAAGTCTTCTGTAGTCTCCTCACATCATCACTTTCAATTGCATCCCCTTTTGATTGGTGGTAGTGGTACTTGAGTCTCAGTTTTACTAAGGTTAACATTCACTGGACTGCCAGTTTCAGATTCAACCATGTTGCAGAACTGCTGGACACGGACACTTGCTTCTAGTAAAGTTCCCTTTTGCTTGCCTTCACAATCCATAAGTTGCTGGAACTCTTCCATGCCTCCTGGAAATATAATTTGAACTCCTGGGGATAATAAAATGAACACCAGTTAACATATGGTTCATAATGTATTCTAATACATCTAGGCATTATGCAAAGGCTTACACAAAGCAACATGCCACAAACAAGGTATCAGGCCTCTGGCAGGTGCAAGGTTAAAATTGAAAGTCCGGCATAAAATTTGGATAATAATAAAAAATTATGTGATATTTTTGTGGGCTTATTATTATTTGATTTTAATTTGACAGTCAGTCATTCAGTCGGTCAGTCATTCAGGTCAGGTCAAAAGCTAATGAGTTTTGCTACTACACTGTATAAGTGCTTTGTTGCCACAGACCAAATGGCCCATCTGCTTTAAACTTTTACATTTATGTAACATGTATACATGTACATATATGTTTGAATATGGAGGTTTGAGTGTTCACATAATTTTTTTTTTATTTCAAAGAATATGGCATGATTGCATTCTATCAAAATGTCAAGAAAGGGAACACCAGTTTGAAAGAATTAATTTTCATTTCTTAAAATTTATTAGAGAAGAGTTTAATACCTACCAATATTGACATTGTTTGTATGGTAATCTCCCATAATTCCATTGTACCTCTCAAATGAGAAGCACCAAAAAGGGAAAACAGGTCCATAATCAAGTATGCAATCCTTAAAATGGCCATGAAGATGCATGTTTGGTGTGCACTTCTCCTTCCCACAGAGGGCTTCTAACATTGCATCAGCTTGTGGTCAGCTTCCATACACTCCTCCTTGGTGATAACTTTTCTGCAGAGCAGTTGACAGGCATGTACAAATGATGTCCCATTCCATAATGTCCACTGGGTATTACTCCCTTTAAAGCAAAAAAAGGAGTAAATACATACCCAGTTCTTTCACTGGTCACCAGTGAATCCCTTTAAATCCTTCAGAAATTTTGCTTTGGATGCTCCCAATTTCAGATGGTGGCTTAACAAGATTGACACGTTTCTGTACTCTCTCCAAGTCAGATTCACTCAGAATTCCCATTTCAGTCCAAGTCTTAAGAACATGTTTGGCACTCCCAAGAGGCAAGTTATGCATGGGATCAATCAGTGCCAATCTTATAGCATCATAGTATGGAAGCTGGAACAGGACAGAGTAATGTGCTCCACTTGAAGAGGCAAATTTCTGGGCATCACTTGGTGTTTTAGCTTGGCAAACTTTCTCTGTAGCTGCTCGATGGTCTTCATTAGATTGCTGTTCCCAGATTTCTCTATCAAATCCTGAGAAATCAGGTTTATCACCAAATGATGCTCTTGGAAATTTTTTTAAAGCATTTGCTGCATCCTGAAAATATTGTAAAACACCATATAAACAATGATGCCAGTGCAACAAGCATGTATTTACACGCGCAACAAACATATACCTGCCAACCTTTTTTTTTTGAGCCAAGGGGGCGAGATTTTTATCCTACAAGTGCCAAGATTTTTGATAGAGAACCTGATCATATCTGGAGATAATCCAAAGACTTCAAATGCACCCCAAACAATTCCAAACTTCCTAACACATGAAAACACAACCTTGTCTCTGGCACTTCCTTCCAAAAATCAGAGGATGTATTAGCTCAAACGTTTCTGCTAGGTGTAAGGAATTGGTCAGCTGGTGAGGGCTGACTTGAGATTGAAGTTTTTGATTCCCAAGACATGTGAGTTGGTAGGTATACATACACAAATACAAAAAAAAAAAAATAACCAAGGAGTTATTATTAAAATTGTATAAAACACTCTAGTTATAGTGCATCTTTGTGCACTCACCTTTCTTTGCAGTATGGCCAATAAAACCTCCACATTTCGAAGTTGCTGGTATATCACTTGACAAAGCTAAGATAGCAGCTCTGAACATCTCCCAGTTCCAGAAATGTTTGTGTCTAAGATAACTCCATCCCACAAGTCAATAAGGTCATCTACTAATGGCTGCAGGAAGGAATTGATATAATGCTTAGGATCCTTTGGCCCAGGAATTATTCCAACAACAATAAGATTTTCAGGTTTGAAGCGTTCCTTTTTTGGAAGGTTCATTACTACCGTGTTAATGACACAAATGGATTTTGAACCATGAAGAGTGGGCTGAAGCCAGTCAATGTTCAACATGAGAGCAAAGTTATTTGGTATAGCAAGAAAGGGCTCTCCATCCACATACTGAAACTCTTTCCAAACTCTTCCTTTAAAACAGTCTCCAAGAACATTGTCTGACAGCTGGGTGGAACAATTTCTCCACTTTTCACAGTTTTCCATGAAGTTTGGCTTGTTAATAAGGTCTTGTAATGAATCAGTAACCTTTTTAAAGCAGTAAACCTGCCTAGGATACAAGAATGTCTTTCCTACTCTTGACCTCATAACTTTCATCAGAACAGAACCACATGGCCTCCTTCGGGCTTGGCGTGGGTGGCGTGGATAACTCACATGACTGCATTTTGCTGATACAACCTCATCATTTGGCCTTTGGCAAACACATTCATCAAAATTAGAGAGAGTTTTACACTTAAAGCAAACTGCATTTTTAATAAAACTGTTCTTCTGAAGGCCAAGATTTTTTTGAATCATGAACAATGTTTCTGGGATGATCTTGGCAAGGTAATAAGAACTTCTGCTTGCATCATCTTACCAATACCAGATAAGAACAGCTTGAAAAACTTTAAGAGTAGAACAATAGCCCTGTCTGCAACTTTGAACATTGCCTGCCACAGAAGTAAGAATAAAAGCAAAGCCCTCAGTTCTGTGCAATCACTTCTTGGTTCCTTCTGTTTACCACATTTTTTTGCACTGTTTTCCATTTCATGAGAATACTCAAAGCTCTGAGTATTGTTCTCAACATCATCCTCCTGAAATGAAATAACAGTACATCAGAAACAATAGCAATAAATCGTACTCAAGATTCAGTATACATGTACATCATTCTGCTTGTATTTACATCACTTGTGAATAAAATGAATATCAAAATATTTCACTAAAAGAAATTTTACACATAAAAGCAGGGCAGTAGCCACACTGTAGCCTGAGGCAAGACGAGGCACTTGCCTCATCTAAATTTTTACCTAAGATAAAACAGTAAAACCTAGCTTAAGTTGGAAAAGTAATCCCCAGAAAACATTTTTCTATTGGTTTATGAGAGATTAATCTACCTAAGAAGAGTGATTTAAGAGCAAAAGCCATGTTATGAGGGTCATTAAGAGAGATGGCAATGTTATGATCTGCTCTTTTTGTATTAGTTTGCCGTATGAACCAATAATATTCTATAAACTAACCAAGAGTTGCCGTTCTGATTGCATGGAGCTTTCATGTTTTTCCACTGAGGACTCCTCTGGTAACATTTCATCATCTACATCATTTTCACCACCATTAGAATCTCCTTCTGAGAAGAACTGCCTGTCTTCATCATCCCAACAAGGAAGAGCACCTTCATTTTCTGAATCAGAGTCCATGTCTAACTCAAGCTCCACATTTTGACTAGAGAATCCACATGCAATATCACCATATAGTGTCTGATGCTCATAGAAGGTACTTTTGCTCACTTTTCTTGCAGTGGTTACAGTAGAACTTCTCACCAATTCTAGGAGTGACTAACAACACAAGATGAATGTCAGATTGATCAGCATCAATGAGCTGATATACAGTGAGGCTCCTTTTACTGAGCAACATGCAATAGCATTGCTACAGGTGTATTTCCTGGGGTATAAAATAACAACCTTTACACACAAACGGATGTGTGTACCCAAGAGTCAAAAGTAAAACAAAAGCAAATAAAGAAAAATTATTATTATTAAAAAGGTCAATTTGCATCAAGCTGTTTACATATAACATTGTAAAGCAACAGACTGTGTTTTTCCAGATCTGAATGTCATTTTCCACAGAGAACTGAAGTACTGTACATGTAATTGATTGGTGGACCTTATGTTGATACATAGGAAAAAGTCAGAAAAATCCTGGCCCTGCCCCAACAAAGTTTTGAATGTAATTACATATACACAGCTCATAACAGACAGCCTGGACAGAGCTGTAAAAGTAGTGTGCATGTGGCATTGTCATTAGGGGCTGTAACCCGTAATACCTGTTACAGCCGAGCTTAATTGATATTACGGGTGATAGTTGCTGTTTAAAAACTGTTGGTAATGCTTTCAGATGTTCCAGCAGAGATCTTTGACTCTTGTCTTTGCTGTAAAATTTTGTTTTGTGTTCGGGAGATGTCTTAGCACTCTTACCAGTCGGTCTTTGGTGAAGGTTTTAAGCGCGCAAGTTCTATCTAAGTCTTAACTGGAGTAAAAAAAATGGCGCTGTTCATTTTTTTTTTTCGAAAATTCCGCCATTTCACGTACGTGTTGCTATGGCTTAACGTTGTCGTCCCCAGTTTCACCCGCGCGCAAGCCTACACCACGCGCAGAGGTTTTTCAGTTCTGCCCAGCCCACGCAGAACGAGATTCTTTCTCAGTAGAAATTCTTACCGTTAATGATAAACGCCTAAACGAAATAAACAGCCTCAAAGATTTTCGTAATAATTAAAATCCTGACAGGGTTAGGCATTGTGAAAGGTATTGCTTATTTTTCTTCAGTTGTAATAAATGCAAAATGAAATTGTTCTATAGCTACCGTAAGGAAGGAAGGAAGAATCTTGCTACCTTCCTTCCTCAAAACGGCTTAACTTTGATCCATCGCAAATAATCAACAGTGTTATATCTTGTGCGACCCGGGCTTAAAACACTATGAGGACTGAAGAAAACCTTTCAGGAATTTCAACTATCGTCGACCTATGTCGAGAAAGATCAACCTCATTATTAACTCAACTCACCTTTCACGTTTAATCTCTGCAAACTGGACTTTTCACATATGTGATCATAATAGAAGCTTTCCCCAAACCAAGAAGCGCAGTTTTCACAAAATTTCCTTCTCAATTGATCCGTACTTTCACCTATTATGCTGCCTTGGTGAAGAACTCTCAGCAACCATTAATATGCTGCCGAGTTAAGTGCCGACAGTCGTGCCGACAAAATGCGTGACATTCAGTGAGAAAGCGCTTATTGGTTAGTCTTACTCACGTGGCTGCTCTAGAAGTAGATTATTGGCTTACGGGTCGCTTAGACGAAATAGAAAGGAAAGAGAAGCGTCGCTCGACCTGTGGACATATTACATAATATTCGCTGGACGATTTTAGTTTTGACATCGAAGTGGCTGCATCTTTCTTCCGGAGTGCTAGTACCAGTACCACTTTGAGTCGACGACCATTCGGCTCAAGCTCATCAACCGGCGCCCGATCAAGCGCAGTTCCATCCCATCCAGAGCCTTTACGAGAAGATTCTATTAGAAATCGGGAGAACCTGGTGGTCTCAAACCGAGAAATTCGACAGTTGTTCGACACAATCAAAGAACTGGGGGATATAGTAAAGCGGCAAAATGCCAAACTATACAGTTTGAGCGTGGAACTGGAAAACGCTTGTAAAGAAGTGGCTGAGGTGAAGACCGAACTACAGACTGTACGACACAAGCTCGATCGCCAACCTCAGTCGACTGAGAAGGAGAATATCCTTCGTGGGCCTGTTCCAAAGCAACTAAAGGTTTGTGCAAATTTTTGTTCCAGCACTGTAGCAATAGGCGTTTCCTTTTAAGCTTCGATTCTGGTATGGGAAGTATTTTAAGCTTGTGGGACAGTATTCCCTTCTTTGTGATGTTAATACCGCATGTCATATGGCTTGTTTGAAACTAAGCCGAGAATAATAAATACTCGGGGGGCGGCCTCCAAGATTGCTCCAGTGTATGAAGTTTTGAGAATGTCAGAAATCATTTGCCAATAGTGCCTGAAAATCAACTTCTGCAATTTAGTTTTAAAGCTACTGAAAAGGTTACTCCACATAGTTCAGTACAGATTGTTTTTTTCTGTAATAATTTACAAAAATGTCCTTAAGTTAAAGTAGATGTTATTGTTCATTGAGGTTAAATAGATAAATGAGCATTTAATCATTTTTCTCATGATTTAGAGTCAGACTATCAAAAGTTTGATTGGGTGTTTCGACAGCTACACTGCTAGTCTTCTTCATCAGGTGATGAAGTCAAATGTTTATGTGTTGCTATATGTAGCACCTTGGTGTTTTGTCATTGGTACATTTTGGCCCTCCATCATTGGGATATTTTGATCCTCATTATTATTCCAACCAGCAGATGTTGTTCTCCCGTAGGTCAGCTTTTTTTACTGACTAGCTGTTATGCTTTTTGATTGTGGGCATCCATGCTTAAGGAATTTAAATTCTGCTCTCATTATTGATTAAGAAGCCATCCACATAAAACTTTACCCTAATAACATCAATAGAGAGTGGGATCAAAATTTCTGAAGTGTGGATGGCTACAGTTAAAAAGCATCACAGCCGGTCAGTAACAAAGCGGACCTATGAGGGAATAACATCTGCTAGTAGGAATAATAATGAGGATTGAAATTCACCAAGGACAGAGTACTACAATGTACCAATGACAAAACACCAAAGTACTACATATAGCGACATGTAAACATTCAAACATGCTGCCTGACAAAGACTAGCAGTGTAGCAGTAGGAAACATTGCTGTCAAACTTTTGATAGCCTGAGTCTATGTCATGAGACAAATGATTAAACATTTATTTCTTAATTTGTCCCTAAGTTGTTTGTTTTTGTAAATAAAACATCTTGTATTCTGGCTAGAAATTTTAAACCACACAATTGTAAGCATAATTTGTTACCCATGATATTATTAGAATTTGAACTTAACTCCCTTATTTCACTTTTCACCTTTGATTCCACATACACTGTTCTTATAAGAAACGTTAATGTTCTTATAATTAATTTTGTTTGAATTTAAGGGTGATGTGCACTTGTTGCACAACAAACAAGAAGTTGAACTTTAGTTTTGTGGAAGTGAAGGGTGAGTAAAAGATATCTATTCAGGATATTAAGAGTTCGTCTGTGGAATGTTTTGGAAATGCACCTATCATAAGCCATCTCCTGGAGGGGGAACCTTGGTTAAGGGAGGGACTTTGCAAAGGGTGTAGTCAAAGAACTTAATTTCCTTTTCTAGGTGGGGACAAAGGACAACCAAAGTTAAGAGATTGTCCCTCCTAGAGGGGTGGCACATTTCAGAACAAGAAGCCACATTAAAATTTGCAGGACAAATTAAAGCTTTGCTTACTTGTGACTGAAAAGGATTACTTTCACAAGACAAAAAAAGATTTTACACAATGCTTAATAGTCCTCCATTTTGATCCAAGCAAACCACAAGGAGATGGAGAAGCCTGTGTTCTTGTGTATTGTGGTCTTTTCTGTCATTTAAAACAACAACTGAAGTGAGCTCTCTGCAAAGTCCCCTGATTTTTTGATTGGCTGGCAAATGGGGAAGACAGGATTTTATTTGTCTGTGATTTTCCCTCAAGCATTTTCCTACAAGCAAACTTTGTTGGCCATGTGAATATCTTATTTTAGTCAAGATGCTGAGCAATTGGCCTTGTTTACTTTTTACATCTTCACAGATCTTGACAAAGTCTCAGTTCATAAACACACAAAAATTTTATCGCCTTCCAAACAAGCTTGGTCACTAACTTAAACCTATATTTAATTTTGTTCATCTTTATGCACCTTTCTAACAAAGCATTACTACTATAACATTCCTTTGTAGTATTGATACTGCCCACAACAGTGCTGTTCGAGGATTTCTTTGTAAGCAACTGGAAAAGGAAAACAATGACTATGAAAAGTCAATTATCAAGTGTAAGTGATGTGTTCATATGATTTCTCTTTAAAGTACATACATAAATGTGCTACTAGAGTGTGCATGCAATTTACTTTTCTGGTCCAACAAAATGTGGTCACCTTGTAAGAAATTTTTTAAACTTTTGTTTAATTCATCTGAAAGTTTGTTGTCTAGAGTACCCTAAAACAGAGCTTTTCGAGGTGCGTAACCTGTCTTGTGCCTGCCTTTAGTAGAAGACCTCTATTGTTCCTGTTGAATGAAACTTAACTTCGAAGAGACACATTTGATGCATATCAAACAATTTAATAGGTTGAATTTGAAAATGACCTAACCTGACTTTCTCATCGAATGTTGATGTAAGGTTGCCATTTACTTGAGAGAACAAATGGATAAATTTGAGAAAAGTAGCTTTCAATGTTAGGACAAGATTCTCATCAAAGACTTTTTCATGAATTTGGGTAATAAATAAATAATTATCAATTAACCTAATACTATTTTTATGTACCAGGTGCTGTGTCAAGATATTATGAAACAAAAAGACAACAATATCTTGACAATCCACCTGACAGAAGAAATAAAGTAGAGAAGACTGCTCTGCAATAAATTGATGCAAATTTCATGAGTGGCAAGGAGAATGGTGAGGGCAGTCAAGAGGATGTGTGGGTTGTGAGGTCACCACTGTGGCGTAGTCCACAGCTATCTCTCTCTTAAAGAGACTTCAGGAGAAAATTGACAAACAGCCATCTTCCTCCTGAAGCTCACATCCATAAAAATACAAGAGTAGAAGGAGAGCCATCCACACACAGTCTAACAACTTCCTCACCTGCATGGGCACTCCTTCCTGAGAGGTCTCCTTCTCAAAATAGGATTCCTCCCCCTCCCACTGTCCCCACAGCATTGCAGTGGTGATGAAAGCGATGGGAACCCTTGCATATGTTGGACACCAGCCCTGTCACAATCTGGAGGAGGCCAAACAGACGGCTACAGTCACTGTGGGACTAAATTAATGCCTAAGTGTTCCTTATTTACATAACTTGTATGTTTTGCCTTCTGTTTTAATTCAGTTCATTTGACAGAATGGCAAGGTGGTTTATGGGTATTAGGGTGAATGGTTCCTTTTAACCCTAACTCATGATTTGTTTTTTTTTTTTTGCATATTGCATTATCTGGTTTCACAAATTGAAAAATTAACAAATGATGCCACTTTTCTCTCTCTCTCATCTTGATTGGAACATAATCTGCCAGCTATTGCAAACAGTTCAAAAATCTGTGGGAAGAAACCTTAAATAACATAGAATTTTGTGGCGATCAACTCCATTTATTGTTGAAGTAATATTAGATGTACTGAAGACCTTTGTAAAGAATGCTACAGTTTTGGATATGCCACAGTTAATTTTATTGGAATGATTTCAAACAAGCTTCTTGAATTATTGTGCTCTTCAAACAACTTTTATGTTAAAAATTGGCTTTAAAAGGCACTCTCCAGCTCAGTAAATAAACTAGGGGCCACTAAGTTGTTAACATGGAATGACTTGCTTAGAATTTATTGTAGTTTTTAATAAAATTTTATTACTCTCTAATATTAGAGTGTAGAGATTTCTTATTGTTATTCTTGTCTTCTTATCTGACTGATGGAAAAGTGTCTTTTTATCATACAAAAATTATTGTCGTGGTGTAATGATTTATGTAAATATGGAAAATGTTACTTCCATCCATGACAAGCATTAAGCACTTTTAGCTTAGTATATTTAATTCTTACACACAATTTGAGATTTTTTCCCTTTTGTGCATAATGTTAGACTTAGTTGTTAGTCATCACATGATGAAATAGATTCTGTAAATTGGCCATTTTGAGGATTATTTATTAGATATTAAAATAATTTATTGTTTTAGAGTAAAGGTTCTGAGAAAAATACACTAGTAAGAGGGTGCAGAATTATTGGGAGAATTCGTTGCTTTTTCCAAGAACACCTGATAGTATGTAGTGTGGATCAAGAATGCCGAGTGAAATTTCTCGTACCGTGGAATATCAAAATCTAGAATACGAATCTATTCTTCAAGTACCGTGAAATTTCGTGTTCTTGAATGTCAAGCCATTTCCATAGTAAAGTGGAAAACCGGGTTCTAGAATACAGACCGATTCGTCTAGAACCGTGGAATTTCGGGTTCTTAAATACTACGCGATTCTCGTAGTACCGTAGAAATCGGGCTCTAGAATACAGATCGATTCGTCTAGTACCATGGAATTTCGGGACAAGAATACTTAGTGAAACTGTTCTCACGGTGGAAAAAGACAGTTTTAGAAAGACACGAAAGAAAGACACAATTTGACTGACCGCGCACTCGTACACGGTACGCCATTATTTGCGGCAAATCTGAAAGTATAACGAAATTTCCGGGTCTCCCCACGCCGCGTTTAAAATGACTTATCCTGACATCGGATTTTCCATGCCACGGGTTAAGTCCGAATTGGAACGAATACAGTTCCTGACACTCGGTGGACACTTCGCATGTCTTGGAACACGGTACGTCCGGGTATGTCCGTATTCTCGAAGAATACGGTTCGGTATCGTGTTATTTCAACACCGCGATACGCCTTATTTCACACAGTGTTGGTATTAGCCATACCCTACTACCGAAACGTACTCGTAGTATTTACGAAAAGCGAAACGTAACGATCGGTACTCCTGTCTAATTCACTGCTTTTAGTTTATCTAATCGAATATCCATCGCGGGGAATTATGATTTTCACAAGTCTCGTTATCATTGTGTTGGTGGTTTTATAATGGTCGTAATAATGTATCACATCCGACAAACTCTGTAGCCTCATGCTATGCACGTATGTAGCGACGAACGAAATTACGAATCACGCCGCTACCATCACACCGCCGATGAATTGTTAAACCGTTTGTATTTTTGAACGTAGCGCTGGTGGTTATTATTCCACGTTATTGTTAGTACAAAAAGTTGAGATTATTTAAAAACAAACTTACGAGCACAATATCTTTAAAGTTTAAAAAAAAATACATGAAGCCGGCACAAAAGAGAGGCAAATATATTAAACAGAATCCAACCTTGAAAGTAGGCATTTCAATGCGTGGGTGCTGTCGCATCTTATCCTAATAAAGCAGCATTAACACTTGGACTTAGAAATGTCCTTTAAGACATGCATTGGTTTCGGAAAATTCGTTCCGTGATAGATTGTCCACAAAGAAAAAAAAAGTAAACAAATTTGTCAAAGGAATCATTCGAGGATGGAATTTCCCTCTTAGACCCTTCCCTCTTCCTTAACTTGTCTAGTTATCAGGTTAAGAATATCCGTGCAATTCGGTGCTAAGGTCTGTGTTTCAGTTTTCTTCTGATTATTATCCTTTGAATGAAAGGATGAGAAAACAAAAGAAAACAAAACAAGAAAAAAAAAAAAAAAAAAAAAACAATCAGCCCAGTGACACCTGTTGCTTAATTGACCCTCTCAAATATGCAAATTTTCACGGTGACTATTACCCGAATTGTGTGACCTCATCTAACGAATTTATTTGACCTCCGCTATTTCTGTGAACATAAGCCTTTGTTTTACCATCTAAACTTAATCCCCTGTCATTACTTAAGCTGGAAAAAAAATATTTAGTTTTGGAGAATACTTTTTGTCCGACATACCTTTCCTACAAGTTTTAACAATGACCGATATGACAGAATCTACTGAGCTTCCAGATTCAAAAAGACAAAAGGATGGTTATAAAGTTACTGTAAATATTTCCTTGTGTATTTGTGTTGTTCTATCGTGAAACGAACGCAAAATCTGGCAAAATGTACTTGCTAGCGACTATGAAATATACATGGCGTGCCTACTTGTCGCCACCGTTTACTAGCATAAATCACTACAATTTATAAAAAAAAACACAACACTCTCACCTTGTTTATCCATGATTTTATTAGCTGTTTCGATAATCACGTTATGCTCTACCTCACTTTAGGCAGATCTGAGTTCCAGTTTATACATCTACTCCATCTTATTATATCAGCTGCACGACAAGCCTGACAGATAGATATAAATCCAAAGATGAATCAGCCTCCGAAATACCAAGAGATGGGTTATTTCCTATTTGCATGTTTCTTTAGAAAAACCTTCTAGGAATTACTGCCTTCAGAAAACTAAAATTTCCAGATCCATCAATGATTCCTTTGCCGGCGAAGTCAAACAATATTTACAAACGTCAATTTGATCGACAAACTACATACTAGGAGTTAGCTAATTGATCTGTCGTATATTGCGTCTGATCTTTTGTGATAATATGGAGATTCGCTGTTCCTTGGAAATCGTTCGCTGGTGTTACTTGTGGGTTTAGTTATCGAGAGGACCGAAGTGCATATCTCAAGTCGTTCCCTTGCGTAGTTGCTAAGAAGACATTTCAAGTAACTTGCGGAGTTGCAAATTTTCAAATCCAGAAAATGAAGTTGATCTTATTTTGTCGAGCGCCGGCATCTTTGAGACCAAAAGATATCACTGATTTTACAATTTGCCCCACAGGCATGTTTACTACTCAATTAAATGACGCTCATTTGTTTTTCTCCCTTCCTTCGACTGAAGTTAAACAGTTAAATCGATGTTTTTGTCATGCAGCGTGTGTTTGTGTTTTTAAAACGACGCGCGTACAATTTTTTTTCTTGTGCATTCGCGAGTCTATGAAAGAACAGTTAATTAATATAAAGGGTGCTATTCTCTGGAATACAATTACATTTTAAACATCCGGATGTAACAAAATGACACGGACTAAAGATTCGAAACAAAGTAGGATTCATGAACTAAGAACTTTCATTTCAAAGCGACATCCACCTGACCTTTAATTTAAATAATGACGATTTTATATATTTCTAATGGCTTCCGTACTAATATTTCATTAGGAGCATGGGCTTAAAGCAACGAGATAAATCAAGCAAATAAATAACGCTTAAAAGGTAACGTGACAATCTATGTGCGTAAAAATTACTTGAGTCTTTCAATTCCTACAAGAAAAATGTATCCATGTTAAAAATATAATTCTTATAAATTAAATAAACTGATTGGACACTCTCTTGAATAGATTATAATTGAGAAATGTCGCATGAACCAGAAACCAAATGATACTCACACTTTTCCTGTTCGTTTGTTTTTTTTGTTTTTTTGCACACAGGGTTACCAAAGCTTTTACTTGTTTTGGCT